CACCTTAGCCAACATATTTTCCCCATTTCACTTAGAGTCACAAATTGAAAATACTCTGGCTAAAATTCTCTTATTCTCAATACACCTTTTTTTGTCTTACTAATCATAATACTGGATAAATTGACTTTTTTTAGACATCGGCATTTAATCCCTGTAAAATTATTGGATTGGTCCTTTATTTATTTATTTATTTATTTTTCCGAGACATAGATTCTTAGAGACACAACTGAAAACTACAGACCTCTTCAAGGAACAATATGCATCAACACATTTCCCATCCATTTCAGGGCATTCCCTAGCCATCCCCACACCTTCAGTCCCAGAGCCAACCTATAGGCCACAGTTCAAAACCAGTGACTTTCTTGAGTTGCTCTAAGTCAGCAAAACTGCTTGCAGGAAAGTGTTCCATCTCACCTCCATGTCCGAAATATTTCTAGCAAAGTGTGATGGAAGTAGGTTGAGGATAGAGTGACCCAGTCAGGCTGCCAAAGATACACAAGTCCCTCTGAAGTAGATCTATATGCAAAACAAGCCATCTTCCCAAGGTCATTGCTCCTACCACCAAATAACTACAGCCTACCTGCCCTCAACACATAAATCGTGTGTTAATTGTTTGGGATTGCAGGTTCCACTTAGTCCCCTCTTCAGATCTTCCCAAAGGTTAAAGTCTCACCAAAAAAAAAAAAAACAAGGGATTTGTGGTCAGGGCCTCTAAGCTATTCTCTAGTTAAGGTTTGGAGAATTTCAAGTTTACATATGTACATATAATTATAAAATATATATATATATACTAACACTCAAAAGTAGTAGGAAATGGGTTCTAATGAGGCACAATGCTTTCGTTATTTTTCCAAAGAGACTTGAAAGTGCTGCAAGGACATTTAGTGCCACGGGCAGGTAAGGACAGCATCATCCAGGCGTCCTGAGTGCCACATGGGGCTGTGCCACACACTTAATGCTTCCATTTTCCCTTTGCTTCCGGCCCATTCGTTTTCTGCTCATACCCTTCGAGGAGTTAAGTAAAGATAAAAACAGCCAGGCCCCTGTTAAGTGAGCCCGTCATGAAAGATGTTTTGACTGTCACCGGTTTTCTGCTTTCAGGCTGAACCGGCATCCTCCAACAAGTGGCAGCTGGATAAATGGCTGAACAAAGTTAATCCCCACAAGCCTCCTATTCTGATCCAAAACGAAAGCCACGGGCCAGAGAGCAATCAGTACTACAACCCGGTGAAAGACGACGGCCAGGACTGTGGGAAGGTCCCCGACGTTTGCCAGCCCAGCCTGAGGGAGAAGGAGGTCAAGAGCACCTGCAAGGAGGAGCAGAGGCCGAGGACAGCCAACAAGGCCCCTGGGAGTAAAGGCGTGAAGCAGAAGTCCCCGCCCGCGGCCGTGGCCGTGGCTGTGAGCGCAGCCGCCCCGCCGCCCGCAGTGCCCTGTGCGCCCCTGGTCCATCAGAGGCTTCCCATTTCCCTGAGCTGTGCCCCGGACTCAGCCAGGGCCCCTGCATCTATGATGCTGTGTGTGTGTGTGTGTGCGCCCTCTCCCAATATGTGCGCCCTTTCTGCAAGAGGCCCCTTCAGCACCCGTTCCTATTTACTGTGCCCCATTTCTC